CATTAAATTGTTAGATAAACATAATTAGTATATCCAAAGGAAAGCCATTGTGACTGGTATCAAAATTAGAAAAAATGTTTTAGTATTATGTAATAATTTAATTTAGCAAATCACTTCATCTGTACCTGTGATAATAAGTAATGCTTTCAATCTTGTAAACCAGTACATATTCCTCTTCCATTGCTACTTGAAGCTTTGAATATGAGCTTTATGTACAAGCACTGTGAAAATGATACATAAGATTCTATTAATCTGATAGTAAACTTTAATGTTTAAACAATAAATTTGCACACCCACTAAATGTAAGACATATTCATTAGTCATCTTAAATAACTGAAATAAATTACATACTTAGACACTGACTTGTAATTCTATAAAATCAATCAAATAATGCAGTTACAGAGATTATATAGATATTTAGAACTTCTAATTGTAAGATAATAATTTGAAATTTTCCGTTTTCTAGATATATATTCTCTTTAGTCACTGCAGAGAAAGGAAAGTGTAATATTCTACATATTTCAATACTGACACATTTAACTGCCTATTTCTCAAGAAATAATATTTTTAGATTGTCATTGAATAATTGTGATTGAAAAACGTTGACTTCAATATATTTCCAATTTAACAATGGGTACCAGTTACATAACGTTTTTAAGTTAAAGTGCTCCATACCTTCTATTCATAATTTATATTTGTTTATATTTGGAAATTAGTACAGCCCTTTACTACTTTAGAATTTGATCTCTTTTTTTAAGTAATGAAAGAAATGAAAGTCTTTTTTTAATTCGTTAAAACTTTTTAAACTAAGTATTTTTTTAATGAAGTTGAATGTATTTTTCCTTTATTTTACCAAATAGATATTATCTAGAAATCGTGACTGTAAGCATAAAATTTTCAAAATTAGGCATTGGGCAGAAAGTAATCAAAAAGTTAATACTTCTTTTATGAAAGTATGCATACAATTTTATTCTTCATCCTTCTATAAATATATCTAGAGAAATTCAAATAAAGATAGAGCAGCCCTGTATAAACATTCTATTTTTAAACATGTAGGCAACTGATAAAGTAAATAGATTTGCACCTAGATAATTATAACAGTCTGTTACACGTGTCTACGAAATAGGGAAAATAATGCTAAATATGACAGCTATTTGCAGAAGAACATTTAACATTACATAATAATATGCAGATTACTCTTTGCGATCCTGATAGAAAATTTTTAATTTCTTGTATCACACTGTCCTGAATTTTTCAATGATTCGGTTATATAAAAAATTTCTTTCATGTGGTATCTTACGATGTTAACAACAAACTGAAACAATTAGTACTGATTTGAATAGCAAAGGTCACTGGAAAAGTAGATAAACAATTTAATTAAAAAAATTACATTATTTATATAAGCATCCTTAAAATACAGTAGAACTCCATTTATGGAAAAAATTTGGTAGATTAATTAACATTTAATTTGCCAAAGCTAATTACACTTATAAGAGTCTCCATTGTACATGGGTGTAACATTGGTTCTTAGTCATAAATATCTAAATGTGTTTCACACACTTATTAATAAAAAAAACCTGTGTATGTGTACACATTTTTACTTATCACAAAATCGAACAAATTAATATATACAAATCAAGTCTAATTATTTAAACATGAATTTTAATTACTTGAGTTGAAAGTTATAAATAATGAAGAAAATCATTTAATTCCAATTATATTGCTCCTCATATACAAATATGTGGATTTCTACTGTAAAAACATTATAGTATAAATTACTTACAAATAATTATTATTACAATAAGTAAATTTATTTTATATTTGTAATACTTTCGTAATTTTTAAGGATGTAAACTAATGTAAATGATTATAAAAAATTTTTGTGAAATTATATTTATGAATATAAACTTAAGTGTGTTATAATCTAATATATATGTCCAGACCTAAGTAAGGTGCAAAAGTTCTGTTTGTTGAATGGTGGTAGTTTTTTATAAACATAACTACAAATATCTGTAATAACCTAATAACAATAGTAAAAAGATAAGGAATAAAAATTAAATTTCTACATAATTCATAACATTTGTTACATTTTAAAATTACATTTTTACAGCAGCACTTTGAAATCAAATATTGAAAAATGAGTATATCAGTTCTACATATAGAATTATAGACAACAATTTTGAAATTGTTATAATCCTACAAAATACAAACTTAAGAAAAAAGACTACCTGGTAGCTTGTGTCCTTAAATAATTTATTTACATTTCTCATTTAAATGTGTATCAAACTATTCTTAAAATTCTAAATTAAATATTATGAAGTAAAACTATCCTTATAACTTCCATTTTTTATATTATTATCCCTATTCTTCTCAGAGTTTGTAATTATTATACATTAAAATTTTACGTATAAATGTACATTTTTATTTAAAACAAAAAACCTAGACCACTTTCATATTATATACACATGCAATATTACACAAAAAATAAATATCGAATCCATTCAACAAACAGAACAGTATTAAACTGTACATAGTACACTTAATTTTGCACTATGCATAATTTTTTGAACATAATACATAATTCGTTCTTTTTTCATGTAGTATGAAAAGAAGACTCAATGATTTATATGAAAAGTATCACATGTCATTTACAATTTATATTTAATTTATATGAAATCATTAAAGTTGCAAAATTAGAATGATATTTTCTAATGTCAATACACTCCGATAACCTTTGCTATATTCTCTTTTTGATTGTCTTAATTTCAGTGAAGTGAGAATAATTCATCAATTTTTATGTAAAAGAAGAAAAAATATCGAAGTTTCTGCCAATCTGAATGACTGAGAACTGATTGATATTTTCAGAAGCTTCTAAGCTTCTAAGCGACAAGAGGCTTTATGTCAAGGAAGAAAATTGTAAAAATGAAGTAAAAGATAAAAATACAACAAAAAGAAAAATGAAAGAATAACATTCACACGCACGAACTATTTTAGAGATTTATTTTTGCGAATGCGTATGCGCGTGTCGTGTACGATTGTGCTATGGTACAACAATGGATTATTATATACATATGTATCTAGGTACACGTATGCGTATGTAAAATGGGAGGGACAAGATGTGAGAAAACAAAAGTAAACAAAAAAAGAATGAAAAAATAAACAGAACACAAAAGCTGTTCCGCCATCTGTTATTTAATTAGATAATATTGGTTATTTCAATCCATTTTACATACATATACATTTATGTAGCATTATAATTTTACTACTTATTATAACGGTGTAAGTGTGATAAAATTGCACCTCTGTTATGCAAAGAAAGACACGCAGCAGCTAAATAAATATGCGTAACAAGTTATTGTAATTATAATAGAAGCATAAGTACGATTTTTAATTAACTTGCCATTCTTTCGAATCTTCCCCCTTCATTCTCTACCATCATTTCTTTTTTGTACAATATGATCATGGTTTTATTCACACTTTAAAACTTTGTTCTAATTTCTGATATAGCCATTCAAATAATTTGCTATTTAAATACTACTGTATAATTGGTATTAATTTACAGAAAAATTAACATTGTATATGTAAAATTTATGAATGTAACTAAACATTCATCTATTTATATTCTTAAAATGTGTACCTGTTCATCTTATGTTCACGAATCTTGAAGGATAAAAATTATGTAGTTATTATTTAATTATTATTATTTAATTTATATAGTCATTATAAAAATTAAATATCTTTATTAAAATTAATAAGTAGTACATATGTAAAATTTTGAAATAAATTTTAGTTTTCTTCCAGCTATTCAATAAAATAATACCTTTTACTTCTGGTTCATACAATATAAGAACAGAGGAGATGGCAAATTTTACTAAAATAATATTTGTATTAATATTTCAAATGCTGCACTAGTCAAGTCATTGTATATTTACTGTATTCTCTGTTAAGAAGAAATAAGCAACAAATATGAATGTCAGCACTATATTAACATAACTTTAAAGAGTCAATAATATTCTATAACAATTGTAATGTTATAAGTGTCCACATATGTAATGATATACATTAACTTCTTTATGAAACACTTCTGTAAAACGAATTAGATCTAAATTTGACAAATAATTAATTAAGTTTCAATTAATTAATGTTGAGAGATTATAAATAAAGATTATAAAGCAAACTGAATTTATAAAAAATAGTCGTAGTATATTATTAGATAGTATATAGTCCAAAAGTATTATAAATTCTTAAAATTTGTTTTTAACTTACTAATTT